CGATGATCGAGAACTATGGGGAGGCATGCCAGAAGCGGCAGTAGATAATTACAGCGCCTTTTTAGATGAGGTGAAGGTAATGTATCCTGGATGGGATGGTAAAAGACGCTACGCGCTTGCGGACTTGCGCGCCATCGCGCGCGAATACGCTAACAAACCAATGCCTTCTTGCACAGAACTCAGCAATTACCTGCGCGCATTCAGGAAGGTTATGCAGCCACTCATGGACGAAGACTGTATTGGAAAGGCCGAACGCGACCGCTTATTCATGGAAGGAATCCCTAGCGATGCTCAGGCGCAAATCCGCTTGCGCCTTATGATCAAGTTCCCTGACCACCACCCATACGACCCATATCCATTTATGGACGTCTTTGCAGCTGCGCAGTTCCTATTATCTGGGCGCGCTTTTCCCGCGCCAAGCGCACCAGTAAGCGCACCAATTAGCGCGCCCACTATAGCGCCAAACACGCCAGTTAGCGCACCAGTGGCTAAGTGCCAAGATCGCTATCAAGCGAGTCGTGCAACACAGGATACGACCATTAGCGCTAATGCGACAGCTGGACTCTTCTATCGCGCACCCTCGGAAGTTGCACTTAACAAAAGGCCACCAGTTCCAATTCTCATGCCTCGCACGCGCGCCTTTCCCGCGCCTTCGCGCGATTCACGCGCACCTCAACCATCAACTGCACCAGCATGCAAAGCCATACCAGAACGCACCACTTTAGATCATGAACTCGAGCGCGCGCTTGCTAAGCGCAACCAGAAGCGCACCGCAGGCGCCTCTTCACCATCATCCTCAGCAGCACCATCTCCTTCACAATCCGCATCATCACCATCACCATCAATTGCGCCAGAAGTCAGGGATGACTCTAAATATCTATTGCACACTAACGCGCCAGTTGAAACACGCGCGCCTATCGCTATCACCTCGCCAGAAGTCAGGGATGACTCTAAATATCTATTGCACAGTAATGCGCCCATTGTGGACGTTATTACGCCATCGCTTGAAACGCGCCCGCCTATCGCATCGCTTAAGGAAGAAACCTCACCAATCGCACCATCACCATCACTGCTATCGCCACTCGCATCATCAGAGGTCAGGGATGACCCTAAACATCTATTGCACCTTAGCGCACCTATAGAGGAGCCTCCTACCGCATCAGAGGCTCAAGTTGCACCTTGCATCAACCAGAGTTTGTCTCTGGAAATTCCAGATGTCACTCGCGATCACGCGCACATCGCACTTTTTGCTTCCAGTGACTATCGCATGCCAGTAAAGCATCCGTGCATCACGCCATCTAACCACCAAGCAGAGCATGTCTCAGGCGACCCTGGCGCGACTCAGGCGCACCATATTGCGCCTGAGGACGCGCAATGCGCGCGCCTAGAGGCGCGGTATATTTTTCCTCATCTTGTTTCGCGTTTTTTGTCTTTTTCATGTTTGAAGCTCTTAAGGAGCTATATGACCATTCCAAACACTTTAATTTCATCTTTGCACTACCCATTGTTCACGCGCCATGATTACGCGCATCGCGCAATATGCGCGCGCGTTCCCGCGCCTCGTGTATTCATAAATTTAGCAGAGTCTTCGCACTATCGCGTTTCAATCACTTCTCCCCTTTTAAATCTCATTTCTATCATTCAACACAAAGTATATTCCAATCAGTCATCCAGGCGCGACTTAGGCGCGCGCCTGACACATACATATGCGCCTAACCCCCCTACCATCACCTTTAACTTCGCACTTCGCACATTTATTCGCATTCTTCGCACTTTTGCTTACCATGTCAATTTCATTCCTGCGTGCCTTGATGCGCACTATTCTCCTTCACCTATGCGCCTATTGCGCCTTAATATACCACCCTTACAGCCCATTGGCGCAACATTTGCGCCTAATACTTCACTATATACATTTCTCGCTAACACATTTACAGAGAAGTGGCCGTTCCTCACGTGTTCAGCCAATATAATCAAATTCGCACGAAATTGCACCGAGGCGCGCACATCGCGCACATCCTATCAGCTTGTAGGGCGCCCCTACACCCCTTGCAGCGCCTTCCATTGGCGCGCCTTCAACCTGCAGCATGTTGTGCAGGAATTCATTCTGCCAGTCACAAGCCCACCCAAGCGCGCCAGCCTCACACATTCCAACCCTACCTTGGGTAACGCGTTAGCTCGCAAGAGACGCGAAGTGCGCTAGTCACGCGCGCTCGCACGCGCTCAAGGAGGAGGATCGAGCGCTCCAGCGGCGCATCAAAGGAGGAACATATACCAACGCTGTTTCATAGGATATTGTTTGTTTTACCCTGGGTTTCGTCCAGCGCTTTCATTTTCATTTTCTCTCATTATAATGCTGTCCAAAGAACTAATAACACACTGATATATATGCATATAGGAATCACTTAGAAGAACATAGAAGAAAAAACAATCATAGAACGTGCCCGCCTAGCTCAATAGTATATTTTCTCTTCGCATGCATGACGCGGCACCATGCTCCTTTTTACCTTAGAACGCGCACATATGCGCGCAGTCTTCCCACGCTCACACGCACGCGCGCGTGTTCACGCACCTTGCGCGCACATGCGCTTTATGCGCGCGCTTCCCGCGCCTTTCTCATAGGAAGGTGTAGATGTTGACAGCTGCACGAAGAAGACAAGTCGGATAGGACATCCGCAACGTTTACCATTTTCCCTTCATATTTTCACATATAGTTTTACTCATGCTGTTCAAACCTTTAGCAACTAATATTTAGCACACCTAATAGGACTTGGTTTGGACATGGATTGGATCGCTCCTGGACTGCGCCACTTCGCATCATCCCCACAGAATACAACACATGCGACACTCACGCGCTTTCTCGCGCCTTGCGCGCGCGCACTTTCCCGCGCTTCACACCATATGCGCGCATCTCACCCGCGCCTCGCGTGCCATGTCCATATCACTCTCACATCATCGCCTCACACCCATGGAACACTATTCACCCCAGAGTCACCCTTGCAATTCGCCATGCTATGCTTTATTCCCGCGCCTTCACGCATAGCGCGCGCACATTCTCGCGCCTCGCGCGTACCATGCGCGCAAATTCCCGCGCTTCATGCGCATCCGCGCGACAATTCCTGCACTTGCGCATTCATCACCCCACAACCCAAGCATCATACATGCATTGCACTCGCATACTATCACGCAAAATCCTCACCACGCGCGCGCTGAGTGGGGACACTCAGAATTTAAGTCCCTGGGAGATGTAGAGACTCGTGCATCTCATAGTGTGATATGGCGCTTTACACTAGGGAGTATACAGCACCAACTCGCAGCATCACTCTGTGTACCATCCACAGTGATTCCTATATGACGCGCAGCTTTCCCGCGCAATGCGCGCCATGCGCGCACCATTCCCGCGCTTCACGATGTATACGCGCGCGCGCGTTCCCGCGCTTGCGCGCCCTATAGCGCCAGCCATCCAGATGCATCCATCCACTGTCCACCAAGCTCCCTAGTGCGTATATTTCCATTTCCTTTATTAGCATAGTGTTCCATCTTTATTTTTATCATGTTTTCTCACTCATATATATATTTACATACCTACTCGGTAGCGCTTCGGCTCCGCATGACCGCGCTTAGGCGCGCTATATAAGCGCCAGCAGTACATACTACACTAGAACCTTACTTTTCCCTTGAACTTACTAGTTATCACCCACTATTTACTTAGCAGTACATAGTAGAAGTCTATTGGTCTACACTTTGCATCTATCTTTTCTTATATTGCTTTATATCATCACTTAAGCTTAGTCTCTTTTATTTCCGCTTACGCGCGCGCGCTTTCCCGCGCTTCGCGCTAATACGCGCGCGCGTTCCCGCGCCTTCGTACCTTGCGCGCACTTGCGCTTTCTCACGCTTCGCTGAAGCGCGTACCTCTAGATCTTCGCAGCACTCGCTTCCCCTAGGGTCGAACGCACTTGTCTCCTCAAGAATAGCAGACTAGGTAACGCGCGACCTCACAACATTTTATAGATACAGTTAGGAGCATCCTTGTTCCTCATTGTATTGTTGTTTCTACACCGTACCAGTTATATCGCTTCACTTGCGACAGGCGTCGTGCCTCTGTGACTCAGTACCTGGGCTCGCGAGTTGACAGCAGTGAGTCATGCTTCGCATCGATGTTTCCCTCATTATTCAACGAACATCTCGTGTCTTTCGCCCCGTACCAGTTATATCGCTTCACTTGCGACAGGCGTCGTGCCTCTGTGACTCAGTACCTGGGCTTGCGAGTTGACAGCAGTGAGTCATGCTTCGCATCGATGTTTCCCTTATTATTCAATGAACATCTCGTGTATTTCGCCCCGTACTAGTTATATTGCTTCACTTGCGACAGGCGTCGTGCCTCTATGACTCAGTACCTGGGCTTGCGAGTTGACAGCAGTGAGTCATGCTTCGCATCGATGTTTCCCTCATTATTCAACGAACATCTCGTGTCTTTCGCCCCATACCAGTTATATCGCTTCACTTGCGACAGGCGTCGTGCCTCTATGACTCAGTACCTGGGCTCGCGAGTTGACAGCAGTGAGTCATGCTTCGCATCGATGTTTCCCTTATTATTCAACGAACATCTCGTGTATTTACAGAAATAAGAACTTTTGGAAACTGATGGGCAATACCGCACATTTTTTTCCAGTCATCTACAAAATAAATAGATTTGTTAAAATCACCACTTGCGAAGGTGTCTTGTCATAGCCAATTAAACGAGCAGAAGAGACTTATTGACAGCTCGCGACGCGCTGTTAGATATACGGATTTAAAGACAAATGTTTTGATATCAATAATATTAGTAGCTTATGGTACAGTGTAAATGTAGGACTGCACTGAATGCAGTGCAGCAAAGAGTATTCGACGTGGTGATTATAGACGGCAAATTCAGTCACCATGCAGACATGGGAGCAACACGATAAAACTAGCATTAGAGAGTACATTATTGAAGGTACTAAGACACAGCAATGAGAGCATCAAGAATCGGAGTCAAACGCAGCGTCCTCCATAGCCAGTCTTTGGGCAGCAAGCGCACTAACAGACATTCGGGAAACAACTTCCGACGTTAGGTCCTGCCGGTGGTTTGTGCCAAAAACTTTCCTGCACAGGAAATTTAGCTACAAGCCCAGGCTAGTCATTGATGAACAGACTGCTTACCTAGTCCACCATTCGAGAGTATCATTGACCCTACCTCGCGCAGCTGGACCTGGGGGATCTTCGAAGAAATCTACAACATTGTTCCAAAACATCTGGTAGTTCGAAATCTCCAGTCTATGGTGCGCCACGAGGTGATGCTGGAAAGAGCAAATCGGATCTGCAAAACTCAAAATCAATTTCCAAGCTAAAGGCAAGCATCAATGCTCACTTGACAAGCTGCATACGCGATTGCGCAAGGAGTCACCTTCCTCATGCCTATAATAGAGGCAATGCATGTCTTTACTTTGGTTTGATCTGACTGTCTCCGGGCGCGGCGATTGTTCTCTATGACATCGGCACCTTCACCGTCGCCGTCTACCTCATTGGCAGAAGAGGGGGAGGTAAATATAGCCTTGAAGCCCTGTGATGTAATGAAGCACGAGCCAGTTACAAAAATCAATGCTCACCATCACTAACAACTTCGATCTCATGAGACCGCATTCTAGATTAGCTGGGGTCGGCTACGCTGTTGTGATACATGAACAGAGGCCAGGAGTTTTCAGAGACAATGAAAGCGGTCAGTACGATCCCGAATACCAGCCCTGACGCTAGACTGCACATCAGTGACATGCGAGTAACAAAGACCAGCAGAACTACACGTACACTGGATCCTCCCAGTGCCATTCTGCCGGGCACAACAGCTTACCACATGTGTCACTCACAAAACCTCGACGATGCTTGTCACCAGCTGAGATGAACGGAGTCGGACGGAACTCAACGTTCAACCACGAGGCCACGAGTTCTTTGAGAGTACCCGTATCGTCGCCACGAGCGGAGTCTGCACCCCGCCTGATCTACGAGGGAATGAGGAAGAAGCGAGAAAAGACGTTCGTGGAAAACAAACCTTTCTAAGCATGTCTTCGGACTCCTCGTGATCAAGACTTGCTAACTTGTCGTGAATCCACTGGTAATGCCTTCGCAAGTTCAATGTAACCCCGTTGAGTGCGGTCTTGCCTATCACTGCATTCAGAACAACGTATAATAAAAGAAAGATAGATACTTACTCCATAGTGGACTCAGGGCTGATAGCTTCGTCGTGGTATTCGCAACGTCGGTCGTTTTCGGCGATTAAATCCTCTATGGGAGTGTACAGGGCGACAAGACGACGGATGGCTCGACCCTGCGAAACATAATAGGTGGTCTTCCTATAATGAGAAATTAAAACCGCCTCGCTGAGAGTTTGACCAAGTGCGTACCTCTGCTTAGTCGCCTTGTCTTGCTTCAAAAGTTCGACCTCTTCCATCAGGGTAGCTATTCGTCGCTTTGCCCGAGCCTGAGGAGAAGTTGGGACACGCAGAGAGTCCAAAGCTTCCTGGGCCAAAGGAGGACTGCCCGAGTTGTTCTCGGATGCCGACTCCATACCCTGCCGCCGCGTAGAGAGGTAGGTAGATAGGGACCGGGAACTTGAAGAACAGTTGAAGGATGGGGACGGCCGCCTGGCGTCTTATAATACTGTGCTTGGAGTCATCTACGTCAATAATGACAAAAATTCTCAAACAAAATGACCGAAATTCACCTTATGACTTGACTGTTCAAGTTGGTACCACTACTAGTAAGTGTCTCTGTCGTTTCTCGAGCCACTTTGGGAAGTCTAAGGAACCTGCTATTCGGTGATGCTGAAGCGAGCACAGTTCGGTCGTTTCTCAAGCCTCTTTGGGAAGTCTAAGGAACCTACTATATTCGGTGATGGAAGCGAGCATAGTTCGGTCGTTTCTCGAGCCCATTCTCAATACGTTCGAGACACATTTGCTAATTCGAATTTCCACTATGCTTGGTCATTTCTGGAGTCTATTTTGGAACAGTAAGGGGACTAGTAATAAACTGTGCGCGTCCAGGCCATGACTGTTATGGAATCAAAAGTGATATCAAGCAGCGGGCAACAATATGATAAAAGTCTAGTGTAAAGAGTGGGTGATGGCAGTCTTGCAAAGTTTTCTTGCCATGTCGCAGTCTCGGTCGGGCGCTCGACAGGAAACTCGTCGCTCTCCTACTAGTCCTAACAATCCACTCTCTTCTACTCGTCAGCGCACTCGTGCACAGACTGCTGCGTATCTGCTTGGTATCCGTCCAGAACTACCCGATGTCAATGATGAAGGGGCCAATCGCATGAATGCAGTTCAAATATTTTACGAAGGAATGGCCGACCAGCCAATAAAAGAACTTACCGCAGGACAGTACCAGGACACTAATCTCGACAAAAGTAAGTGAAGCATATATCTTGGCAGATGGGCCCGATACTCACAGCGGAGTTGTATAGTCGAGTTCCAAGTGCCTGTTACATACAACGAATGCGAACAAACCAACCACATATGTGGACAGGTTGCATTCTGAATCAGAGTCTCGGCAGGACATTTTTGATTCCATTAAAGCGACCATGGATGTTCCAGATAAATATGAACACTTAGGCTGGCGGTTGTCTACCGCCCGCCGCACGGATCCCCCCCACCGGCTTTTGACTGTCTATGATATCGATAGTGCATTCAGGGATGCGAGGGCGGCCCAGACCTCTGGGAGACAATGTAAGAAGATCGCTATTGTAATCATCAATACGGTATGTGTTTAGATGTATGCAAGTAATCTGCAAGATATGACGTTACCTTACAGAAACCCACGCCAAAAGAAAAACCAACTAAACAAAGCGCAGGCATATCTTCTGCAAGCGAGCAGGGGCTTTTACCGCCCAGGATACTTGTGATCTCCGACGAGGCACTTGTCGAACGACAAGGACACTCTGTCCCTCAATCGCTGAAGAGGACGTATGCACTTTACCTGGATAGCGATGAGGAATCCAGTAACGACGAACCGTCGCAAAATATCACGGACGTCAGTGACGAGTATCCACTCTCGCTATCCTGCCATGAACTTCCGTCAATATGATGGCAAATTGAAAGATCGTGGCATATTGTACCTGTCGACTGCAGCTCATTTTGATGTAAGTTTCTACAAGGAAAAGATTGGTATGTCAGGAGGCGCTGCACATACTTTTCAGAGTTTTGTTGCAAAAGCTTACCGGAAGGTGGAACACACTGAAGGGGAGAAGGAATGCTAAGGGGAAAAAGAAGGCACGATCTAAATTAGCCTGACGATGAGGACTCGCATGATCCGAATATCTCACCTTAGTAGTAGTACTTAGCGTCTGATCGACATGACTATCACACAGTCACTTAGCACGTGGCCTGTATATACTTTGAATCAGTTACAGCTCAAAATGTTCGGGTTGAAATTACAGGCGCACGTATTTCCCTGCCAATATCATTGATGGAGTTCATCAAGTGCAGCTGCCAGGAGGAGAAAGTATTTGAGAATCTCGTTTGGGTATTCACTGCAACATAACACACGTACATGGCTACCTGACAATGGGCATTCTCCCACCCTGATGCGGCCATTGTGGAGTGTCACGAGCAGCAGTGAGGGAAAGGGTGAAAAAGCTAGCGCCCCTCAGAATGGTGTTCGCTCGACCTTGATAATGTACATTTATGAACGAGGCAGCACCAAGTAGCTCTCTGATGGAAAGATCTCCTGAGTCTGTAGACATACTAGTAGGAAAAGTACGAACATGAGTCGGGGGACGCACTTCCGAATGCGGGAACAGTGACAGCCTGAGGATCTGGGCAGCAACATTCTCAACGCCAAGTTTGGAGTGAAGAAAACAGATGTAGATATTCCAAGGGTGCTGAATAGAAACAGGAACAAAAGCAATCAGAGGTCGGAAAGGGTGCGGGGGCACACAAGTGTCCCATGGTAGGTCAAGGACATAACTATTAACACGCACGACTCGGAAAGGTCCGAATAGGATGCCCGTGATCTCGATATTAGTCAAGTTCATCCGGGCTTTTCACTAGAACTGGTACGAGAGTCCTGAGGTCTTGCAATACGGCTTCACCAGCAAGGGAAGCTGGTCTTTGTTCTCTGGGTCACTGCATAAGAATGGCCTCTGTACGATCGACGACCTCTTTCCGACATCTGAAGCAGGAACAGCAAGCTCGAATCAGGGTAAAGAGGAGAGCCTTCATCCTGTAAAAGGTCGTTATTGTTGGAAATGAAATAAAAAGTTGCAGCACACATACTCCACAAGTGAAAAGCGATACCCAATACACGCGCGTGGACCACCGAGGAACATCATGAGGTGTCCACAGACCCCAGGAACTTGCGATGCTACCTCTGGAAGTGATGCCCAGCGGTCAGGATTGAACTCTTTTGCATCGGCGCGCCAAATCGCCTCCGATCTGTTGATTGCCAAGATGGGGATGAAAATCGGGTCGCCCTTGCTAACCCTGATACAACTGTGATGAGATATTGATGATCATTGAAAGGGAGGTTGGCAACATACTTGATCCCATTATGAACCACTCCATACTTGTCCGTAAAAGGCGTGTCCACTGGGAGGATATCATCTTTCATTGCGATGCGAACTGTGCTAGGGACAGGAGGGTGCAAACGAAGTGTCTCGCGCACAACCGCGTCAAGATAAGAGAGCGCCATGAGTTCGTCCATGGATGGAGTCTCAGTCTCCACTGTCAAGAGTTCCTCCCGGAGCTTGGTTTGAATGTCCGGGCGTAGGCAGAGCGCATAGAGTGCCCAAGTTGTTGACGTGCTATTCGACTGTGTGAGTGTGAATTATCTTCTACAACAAGTGTCATCCGCACCTCGTGGTCTCATGTCCCACGACCAAAAAAGTCGGAACCTCTAAGTATGCCATAAGCGCTCTGCACGCATAAGTCCAAATGATAACATATGCGCAAGTACATCCTCGTCCGATATCCTCTGGTTTTCAGGGATATCGGTTGCCATATTGGCACGAACAAGTAAACTAAGTAAATCGCGCCCTTGAAGACAACTCTTCTCAATGGAACCACCTTTTTCAGTGCTGTGAGAGGATATGACGGCGGCTTTAGCATCATGCAGGAGCTGGCTGCCGATGCGACCCATCATCTTTTGGGCTGCATCTATCTTGCGATCGTGATCAGAGGGCTGAGGGGAGTTAGCAGCAATTTATGTCAGGTGGCGATGGTAAACTTACGATCCATCGGAGCAAAGGAATATGCCTTAAGTATGGGGATGATGCTAATCTGCTGACTGGCAGAAAACATGACTGAGAAGGCTTGGTTAAGTTCATTTGGTTTATCGGTTGCATTCAGGGCGTCGAACTCATAGTTGAAACCTACGACACTCATTCGGTATTGCTAGGAAGCTTCTTCGGAAAGGACATACCTGCAAGCCCGATGACGTCCAACATCATTTTGCTCAGCCAGGGCATGATATCCATCCGAGCCGCATGTTCACTGGCAACGGTCATGGTAGACCAGATGTCTCGAAGCTGAAAGACAGCAGCGTCGACATCTATATCCATATCTAGTAAGAAACAAGCCAAGCTTACCTTGATCGATTTGCTCAAGAAGATGTCCGTTAGTGCGCGGATCTGGGCGGGTCCAAAGGCGGGGTTCTTCGAAAGACATGATTTATTGATCCAAGGCAAACAAAGGCGAATCGTACCATGATCCTTCTCTGAGACATGGCGTCAGTATGATAACACTGAGATGCGTGTCAAAACAGACCTGCTGACGATGTTGAGCCCCTTGAGACCGGCATTAATGGAAGTGTAAATATTATGCAGCCGAGATCGCACCTTCAACAAACAGGACACCTGAGATGATTTCAGATGTGACTCTGGGATAACAGTAGACACACTGGCACGCACCTTCACCCAAAATTCTGGAGAGATTATACCGGACTTGTGACGGTTTCTGATAATCGCTACTACTATGGGTGAGAACATGGTTCAGTGCGCGGGTGTCCATCGTGAACAATCGGTCTGACTGAGAAAGAATTTCAGACGTGGTAAGTTTTGTAATGCAGGAGAAATTGAACATACAAAGAAGAACCCTTTGTATTTCAGGGTCATCCCATATTGCTCCACCCATTGCTCGTGAAGGACTGAATTTTCCTGCAAGTCTTCAATGAGGACAGGCGCGATGGTGAGTTCGATGGATAACTATACCGCCTTGAAAATGTCCTTCAAGTTTCCATATAGCCAGCTTGTTCCTTTTGGGCCTTGTAGTACGCACAGTGGGGACCTAAGATTGTGCCATACTTGCTCTCCTAACTTCCAACACCCGAATGCAACGAGTGCGGAGCTTGCTGAAAGAACAAGTTTCGAAATGATATGGGTAATTGGCATGCTAGGTAGATGAAGTTGCTCTTCACAAATGTTTAATCTGCTTATAATGTGTAGAGCTGTCCGTGCGCGAACGAATCTGTACGGATGTCCAGAACCGCATTTTCGAGCGTGAGTCCTTGACTCATCCGTTGAATGTGGTGGCATAAGCACGCACAGGTGGAGGAGTATGTAGTTAGGAGGACAATGATCGATAGACGTCAAGCGCACATGGCGCTAGACCAATTGAGAGGACAGGTGGCGCTCAGCACGAGCACAGGTGGAGCACAGACAGGAGAGTCACGCGAATTGGTTCCGCGGGATCAACCGTTTCGTACTTATATATTGTAGATGTGGCAGCGCCACCTAATAGCAGTAGAGATAGAAGTATAGCTCTAGTCCGGGCAGAAAAATATACGGCCGTACAAATACGGCTTGCCTCTAAAACTTCATTGATGTCTGATTTCTGATATACTGCATGCATTTCAAACATAGTCATTCTCGTGGTTATTTGTTGCATGATATAGCGGTCACCTAGCACATCGAATCAGATCCGTAACATATGTACAATATCAACAGCATGTTACATAAACATACACTTGATAAATATCCGACTCCAGAAGGGTTCTGTATTACGATCAGGATTATACACAACGTCGATGTGATGATAACTCACCTCAGCTATCAAATTCAACCTCGGAGTCTGAGTCAGGGGAGCCCCCCTCCATATGGGCATCGTCCTCGGACAGGCTTGAGTCATCGTCCTCGGGAAGACTGGAGTCGCGCACGAGACATTCCATGTGATCGAGTTGGACATCAGCCACAACGAACGATGTGAGATCGCGGCTAAATGCGCCGATATTAAAATCAACCTCGCCTTCGAGGTCTGGCAAGGTACGTCCAACCAACATCTTTTTGAAAGATGAAGCTTCTTCGGCGCTTTGGGCATACTCTAGAGCATCCTGCTCGAGAATCTTTTCAAAAAGCTTGGTATGTTGAACTGACGATTCAATCTCCCAAGCCGTCGTCAGGGCACGTAAGCGCTTGCATTCGCTGAGTAGCTTGCATTGCAACGACAGCTTGATTGGTGGCCTCGAGAGACATACCTCTCATGCCACGCTCGAAGAGCTCTTTGCCCTGATATCAAATGCTTATCAGTGTGAAGTTATATCATTAAAGCCCAACATACCTCTTGAACATCAACCAAACTCAGTTCAGTCTCGCCGGAGTACTTCCTGATGGTCCTTTGAAAAAAACGAAGCTCTATTGCATTGGGCCCGTGGCCGCGGCGCCTGTCATAAGGCTTGAACTGTCTCTTGGCGCGTTGCACATAATGAGACAAATTTTTCAGGTGAGGGAGGCGTGGAAGGGCGTGAAGCTCATCTTCTGACGACTCAGAGGTGTCTGATGATGGTGATAATGGTGGACGACGAGTGAAACGCCCGGATGATGCGTTCGTGTGATGGGACAATTTTCTCTCAGCGAGATTTGGGGAGTTGGAGCCAGGTGTCTTAACATTGCAAGACATAAGTCGATAAGATTCTACACTGTCCTCAAGAGCGGGACTAAGCTCTCCGATAGAGCTTGGAGGAATAAGACAGGCAAGCATACTTGACACGGCAGCAGTCATCTGTGCGTTGGGTGATTAATATCAGGAAACAAGAACTCCAGGACTGAAAGTTCAACAAAAGGATAGGCGCTCAGGTCCCAGTTTAAGCCGCTTTGGGATTGAAATACCGTCCTGTTTGGGTACCTGCGGTCAGCAACGATGTATTAATTTCAAGAATGGATAGAAGTTACTCGCCTCATTTTGCTGGAGAATCTCCGCTGAAATAGTACTGTGGGCCGCCACCGCAATGATACGGTAATACCAGTATGGGATCGAAATATTCCTCTCATTAGGAAATGGCTGCGTCGGCCCTACAAATACGTTAGATAATTTCAAACCTTCGTGTCACACATGATTATCTGACGGTCAGAGTTCCAATTCTCATTGAGGCTTGCCGAAGGGCTTCCTGGAGGCAGTGATTAGTGACCATGCTATCAGGCCTTGTATCGGATTATAGGTTTCATGACTACCATATCATGGATCCATGAATTCACTGATCGGCACAGCCCCTTCTGCCACCAGTTCGAGTGTAGAGAGCAGACTGCGAGTGAGGTCATGGCAGGCCACAGTTAGAGAGCACGGCATGATGCTGACATATACATGACTACGTTGTAGTATGAACTTCAAGCTTCATGCCCGGTGAGTGTTGAGTAATACCCACAAAAAGTCCGAACACCCGGGCCCTCTTTAGCCCTGGGATGGACGCCACATTGGCAGTTACATAAGTCGAATACTTCTATTCTATTTTCTTTTTCCTCGTCGTCATCCACGATGACAGCCTCCTCTTCACCCTCGGTTGTACTATGCATGTGTAAACTTGCACAATGCACTCAGATCATATTTTTACCTGCTGACAATGTTTTAAGCAGGAACTCTCGTTGCTCGTTGCTCCCGCATTCAACTCCCAAACATCTGGTGCAGGGGCCGCCCTCAACCAATTATCTGTACCCTGGGGAAACCTTCTGTCACCTCCCAGCTGTACGCCAACACACCCAACCAGGGCCCCTTCCCACCTTTTATTATCCTGCTGTTCCTTCCATTGCCCCACATATCCAACCAAGACCTTCCTCGTGCTCGCACTGACCCGGTGCTGCCGTCATGACATACTACAGCCCCCTGATTCCCACTTCGACTCCCTGCACCTTGTCGCCTTTGCGCAGTTGCTCGGACCCTCAACTTATACTTCGACAGCACCCATGCTCCCAGGGCAACATCCTGCAACCTTTCACTACCCTGGTACGCCAACACCAAGCCTTCCTCGCCCTTCCATAAACCTGGTATCGCGCACCCGACCACGACATTTCTCGTGCTACCGCTAACCTGGCGCTGCCGCCGTCCTACCTCACTTCGACCTTCCATACCTTGTGCCTCGCGCAGCCACCTGCAATATCTCGTTCTTGCCTGGTTAGCGTCTTGATTCTACGTTCGTCATCTCATCGAGTCATTCTCCTCACTACCCCCATACATTTGATCTATTTTATTGGATATATTACATATCATATATCATATAGTGTGACATTTTTTTTTTGAAAACAATGACTCGGGCATTGACTGGAATCAAATGTCGAGTGCTTGCTCATCATAAGTACAACCGCTCTTGAACGATACACACATTCTTCACCAAGGTATTCAATAGGCTGAAATGTATAGTAGTGCATATATATATTGCCTGTATAACGATATACAAAAGTAATAGACGAAAAAAGCATATAGAAGAAGAATGACGCATGTTACGCACTCAAATAGATCTGTTATGCGGAGCCCTAAGAGGGGCGTCGTCCGCTAACGTTCGTGACGTAACCGGAAGGATCCGGTGTAGCGACTGAGACTGGCGACGTCGAGTCGGCAGATATCAGAGACGCGCGTGTCACGTGACTTCTAAGACGGATGTCTTCAAAGTCACTGACGATCTCAAAGTAAGGACAGTCTTGTCCGAACGATGAGTTGTCGATCGTGGTAGACTTAGGCGCGATGAGCACCTAAGAAAAGATACTAGAGACTGAAGCTGAGGGGGCTTCAGAGGGAAGTATGTTCGAGGGAAGATTGAGTAGATTCAAGTTAGGGAATCTAGTACAGAGTGACCGACTACTTATACTAAGTGGAAAGGGTTAAGGGCAAGGCTACCGTACTGTAGGTAAGGGCAAAGGGGAAACGGAAAGGGTATAGGTACGATGGTGGCAGAGCCTGATTAGTGATGTAAGGTCGAATGCGGAATGAGACCGAGAAACGTTGGAACGAGCCAACGGTAAATGATACAATGTGCAGCATGCACGAGTCAAAGGAAAGATAAGACAAGATAAGGAAAGCCACATTGGTGGCACGAGTCAGAACGAGTCATAGCCCGAAGGCACGTGCGCACGTTGGTGCGATAGGAGGGGGATGAGGGACGGGAACGGTCCCGAGGATCCGGTCAACGGATAGTCGGTAGAGAAGTGCGAGCCGGAGGCATACGAGGGCGAGGACGAAGGGGAAAAATGATAGGGGGGCCATGTAGCCGATGTTACTTGTAACAACGCACGGCGGAACTTGAAATGGTGACTGACCCAGATATCTTGAGCAAATCGCGGAAATCAATTCGACGTGGTGTCGGGGAGCAAATTGGGGCGCAATTGGCACTGTTACGGTATTTTACTCAGCTACCTTACGCTCACGCAAGCTCATGGTGTAGAATATTACGTGCAGCCTAATTTAAAGTTACAACTTTGAACGTAAAGAAGATGGCACCACAAAACCCAAAGGCTATCTTGCCATATTGGAAAAGATCTAGTCATCGATGATCAAGTGGCACTTCGTCGAAGGCGTGCTCAATTCTAAAAAGTTCAGTTTGTTTCATCTCCGAATATAGGAACAACACTGATTACCGACGCTTGTTGCCAGTTGTTATGGTATTCACGGGGCCAGAGGCCGGCTGTTGCTCTAAACTTGTCCTACTGAATCGGATTAGCATTGTACCAGTAAGTGTTCCCATAGGTTTCTCTGTGTCGCTGTTGCTGATGCGAGCGTGTTATGTGACCGTATGGCGTATCGTGTTGTTGATGCCTGGACTTGGTTCTGGAACCGGCAGGGAATGTGTTGTTTGTCACTGTCAGCATGATAGTTCATTGCCGACTCTGAGAATGTTAACAAGTATGTTTGACCGGGAGACAGGTCCTTTTTCCGGCCTCGGAAATAATGTACGGAGCCGAAATGAAACTGTCTGCTAACGTCAAATGAAACGAACTGAACTTGATGTTTTAGAATTGAGCATGCCTCGATGCGCATGAGTCACTCAACCTCGTTCAGATTGAAATACTCTCCGTATTTGGTAAGGTCACTTTAATGCTGTGATCCCTATGATGTTGTATCAATTTATTTCCCATCGAACTTAGAAGAATAGCCGATGCGGACTGACTTTTCCCCCGCATCTGAAATCGAGGTCGCCGTGATGAGGTACGACAATTCGGAACCTTTCAGAGTTCACTAATGTTCACTGTCGATGGGGCTAGACCCACCAGAATCAGAAGCAGTGCTCGAAAAAAAATGTCTTGTTATCATTGGAGGAGCCTGACCACATAATGTCACAAGACCATCAGGCATGTAAGTACATAATACTACACCTCGTTTATGAGTCATAAAGAAGGCGTATTACATGTTTAGTTGCAGCCCCAGCGACCGTGAACTTGGCCCCCAGTGCCGAGGGTCAGACGCGGATTCGGACTCAGGGGGGCGATCGCACACTCGTTGAGGGCTGTATACGGATAATTAATCTTGAACTCGTGCTAAATACTAAGTTATCATCAGGCTGGTGCTCATAGTACTACTGGTACTGGTACTAAAGCCTACCTTCCGAGTCGCACCCTGCAGGCCAAATCCTGCCCAAGATCGCCTCCCTCAGACTGAATATCGCTATGATTCCTTCGAGCGACTTGGAAGTGGAAGATCGTGGCCATGAAGATGATGACGGCCGCGACAATTTTCTATCATCTCAAGCTGCCATGGACTGTGACTTACTAGACTTCGAACTGTGGTATGAGGCGACCTGTGCTTCTATAGATCAGGCTCCAAGTCCACTGCCGCAGCATCTGAGTCCAAGCGATTGGGAGGTGCTCCTCAGTATGTTTGACACACCTGGTGCCACTGGCAGTGCCGCCACTGCGGCTTGCCGTGAGATGGCTGGTGGTCACGGTAGTCAGGGCCCGGGCCAGGACATTGTAGCCTCGCTGCAGCATTCTACACAGACACAACTCGGAGCCACGAGTGATCATATTCACGATGTACACTCTTCCGGGTCATCATCTGTACCGTTACAATCATCGAGTCGATATTCCCCTTACAATTTCTCCGCCAGGCTTAATGCTCCTCGCAACCGTAGCCGCAGGGCACACCTTTTCGCGGCTGCTGATGGTGATCTTATGATGGAGCATGATCACAACCTAACAGCAGATGTACCAACTATGTCAGCATCACTACTTCCGCCTGCTCCGCCATCACTGCTGCCCACCCCAGCATCGCTACCACCTGCTCCAGCATCGCTACCACCTGCTTCAGCATCGCTACCACCTGTTCCAGCGTCACTACCACCACCTCCTACTATAGGATCGTTGACTACTAGTGCAATAGAATCCTCATCCTCCCTCGCGGGGAGGTTCGGTCTCGAAGACCTACCACAGGTGAAATTGGAGGCGAAAGATATTCTGAAACGGTCAACTTTTGACAATTCCTTTTTGCTTTCAACGAAAGCAAGAACAAAGAAGGCGCTCGAAAGCCTTGCTACCGTTGTTGCAGAATATAATAGTCGTAAGTCACAATATTCTTTCAAAAATTCTGATAACTGAAATTACGACCAGCCGAACTTACCCAATGGGCGAATGGGTCCGAAGCGTCGAAGGATGCCGAAACTATCGCTCATACCGTCAAGAACCTGAGGAAAAAAATACAGGATATTGTCAGGATCGCAGTTGTATACGGCTACAATTTACACGAGGCTTTGGCCACTCAACCCCAGGCTGAGATAGTGCGTATCATCGACCAGCTTTTGGATAACGATGCTTTCCTGAATGGATCGATCAATGTAAGTCATACACCCTATTGTTCTAAGTTGAATGCTTATGGATTCACGGATCAGGTGGGGGGACAAATGATAGTTGTACCATTTGGCCACAGTGCATTGCGATACTTTATCAAGCACATCCTCTTCTACAACCTCAATTTCCAACAGTATGTCAATGACACCAACTGAAACATTGGGCCGTTACTAGCTTTCGTTGGGACATTGTTTCGGTGGGCACTTCAGGAACTGTCCACAGGTACTTTTTTGCAGAGCGCCTTTGATTTGTCCCCAGCCAGGATAGCTGTGGACGAAGGGTTGTATAATGTCTACACAGCATTGTCGAGCGAAGTACGTGACGCCTTGATTGCTGATATTTACTCAGGGCAATAGGGGAGCGTCCGAAAGTCTGGTATTGCCGCTTCGGCGAGCCGTCTCAATGTATTACAATGTGTATCGTGACAGGACATGATTGAATTCCCCGACTCCCACTTTAGTGGGAACGGAGGGTTTTGATCCTTGCTGATTGATATTGATGAATGATAACTTGAATGTGCTGCAGAACACAATAATGATTTTGATAGTTTGGTAACTAGACTTCATGCACTGCTTCACACAAGTTCCCTTCAACGAACTTGGAAGCACTGAGAACGTTCAGGTTATAAATCTAGTAGTACGGTATGACCCGGCACCACGTGCTTCACAACTTTGACTCGGCAAGTCTTTGCCTGCGAGCCTGAGTTTGCAAGATCTACTACTACTACTAGCACCACCACTGGCACCCTGGGCCAATCATCGAGTCAGCCTGGCGCGCACCTGAGTCGCTGAGAGCTGGTAGCACTGGTCCGACAAATGCACAAAAAACTTCTATGCCTTGTTCTTCTTTTGCTCTCTATTGATTATATGGTGATATCCTGCAACGCTCCAGGATGCACGTGGGAGAAAGCGGCCAGCGACAGTCGAGGACTTAGTAGGCACCGTGCAACATGCAAACCCTACCGCCTGTCCAGCGTCATGATCAGCCAGAAAAGACGCGAGAGGGCAAAAGAGGCAGCTATAACTCTGGCACGACCGTTGCCAGCAGCAACAAACCGAGGCTCAGGCAACTCTTCGGTGAGCAACCTTTTGTATATAATTCGGAGCAGCGGGTCGAAGTTATCATAATGACAACTCAATTGTGTTTCTAGAGCATATCGCCCATCCGGCTCCGTATGGGGAGCGTCCGCATTAAACCCATTGTTCCATGCCCTGGCAGACCATCAAGCAGATACTGGATTGAGGCTGGCATGTCTAGTGTCGGCTCAGCGGGTCCTGAGCATGGCCAGCAACCCGAGTCAAACTCGGACCTGGAGCGGCAGCAGTCTGATACTGACAACAACGTACTCAATACCAATGTTTTGGGTGTGTCATGACCCTTCCGAGTCAGTCACCCGAGTCGACTGATAACTTGTTTTGCTTTTCGCTTGTCAGAAGAACCTTGGCGCCCTCTGGGACGAATACCCAGATGTTTTGAGGATGTCCCTCTTTCTGATGAGGATACCAATGACTTGGAAAATACCGATGTTTCGCCTTCTCGACACCCAGAGCCACCTCAATATAGAATCCAGAGAGTTTTATTGACGTTACGAGATACATTTCAGACCACCTTCAACTCTCTTGGACTTTGCCGACTCTACCCTCGTCGCCCATCCTTCGAGCCAGATAAATTTGTTGCGTCCTCGCTACTTTCAACTACGTGCCCAACGGCTGTGCAAGAGACTGATTCAGGCATTCTCCCACCTCCGTATCCTTTCCCTAATATGTCCGTCTATCAACTCATGGCTTGGATGAATTCCGGCAGCAACAAGAAATCGGAGACTGAAGTTGCTCGTCTTGTCGAAGAGGTGATGCTGGCGGAAGATTTTGATCCAAAGCACTTGGAGGACTTCTCAGTGAGGAGCAGTTTGCGAGAGTTAGATCATGACCCTGGCAAAAGCAAAATTGAGTTTCCAGATGACTGGATCCAGGCCAGTGTCACCATCAAGATCCCTACAAAATCGAAGGAGGACGATGCGAGATCTTTTTCCGTTTCTGGATTTCATTTTCGCCCCCTCATTGAAGTCATTCGGTCAGCTTTCACGGACATCCAAGCAAGTGCATTTCACCTGTCGCCTTTTAGACGTCTGTGGAAGGATCCATTGGACAACCATCAAGAGCGAGTGTTTGACGAGCTGTATACTTCTGACTCTTGGCTGGATGCCCAAGACGACCTGCAAAAGCTCCCGAGGGAGCCTGGATGTAAACTGGAACGCGTGATCGCTGGTCTCATGTTTTTTTCGGATGCCACGCATCTGGCAAGCTTCGGAACGGCAAAGGCATGGCCCTTGTATATGTACTTCGGAAATCTGACAAAGTACGCTCGCTCGGCGCCAAAGTCTGGCGCCTGTCACCTTGTGGGATTTTTACCATCGGTGAGTTCTCCCCCTATATTTGTAATGATCTCTCAAACGACTGTTCATCAGCTGCCCGATAAAGTCAAAGATGTGCTCAGTGCCTTGCCTCGCATGTCCAAAAGTGGCATGGCTGCCCTTCAAACACACTGTCGACGTGAATTATTTCACGCGTGCTGGGACGTTTTACTAGACCAAGATTTTGTTCACGCATACCGCCATGGTATTGTGTTGAAATGTGCCGATGGTGTGTTGCGGAGAATATTTCCGCGTATATTCACATACTCAGCTGATTACCCTGAAAAGTGCGTTTTGTCCGTAAAACTTGGCAGATTACTCAACGACTTTTAGGGTTTTAATTGCCACCATCAAGGACATGGGCTCATGCCCGTGTCCCCGTTGTCTTACACCAAAAAACATGTTTCCTTTTCTAGGCCTCCTGAAAGACATGAAGAGCCGTGTCACCAATATTCGAATCTACGTCTCGGCTAATATTATCAAGGCACGGGAATATATCTACAATGGGGGTAACACTGTGGATGGCGTGAAGGTTGATGAGACGCTGAGAGAAGGTTCATGGGTGCCTATTCTGGTAAGCGCAAATTGTCTGTTGCCCTGGCGCACCTGCTCAAAGTGACTTGCAGAATACATTTGTCGAGAAGCTGGGAGCACTGGGTCTTGACCCATTTCGTATGCTGGTAGTGGACTTTATGCATGAGTGCGAGTTGGGCACCTGGAAGGCATTATTCAAGCACCTCGTTCGGATCCTTTATGCGCTTCCGGGGGGAAACCAGCTGGTTGCAACATTAGATGCAAGGTAGGCAGAGTTTATGTAGTACTAGTAACCGTGACAAGTCACTAAGTCTATCTCATTACAGATTTCGTCTGGTTCCTACTTTCGGTGACGGGGTAATTCGAATGTTCGCAAACAACACGTCTGAGATGAAGAGGCTGGCGGCGCGAGACTTCGAAGATATCCTACAGGTTTCTTCTCGCTTTATTTGACTCCTATACCCAGTTTGCTGACGGCCTCTTATCAGTGTGCGATACCTGTCTTTGAAGGGCTATTTCCCGCTAGCCATGATAAGATCATACAGTCTCTTTTATATAGGTTCGCTCAGTGGCATGCACTCGCCAAGTTAAGAATTCATTCAGATTCGACGCTAAGTTTCCTTGAGGAAACATTCAAAAAACTCTCTAAGCAGTTGCGGAACTTCCGCGACTCAACCTGCGCTGTTTTCAATACAGTGGAATTACCAAAAGAAAGGGCAGCTCGCCAACAAAAATTGGCGCAGCGTGTTGGACCTAATGGCATTGCTTCGGAACCAAGTGTACCGAGGGTGAAAAGGTTCAATTTGAGCACCTACAAGTTTCACGCCATGGGTGATTATGTACGAACCATCAAGCTCTTTGGTACGATGGATTCTTTCACCACTCAAATTGTAAGCATCGTCTCTTATCTCAAGGATGGTTCTGAAGTTATATTCACTAGGGGGAGCTGGCGCACAGAGCCTTGAAAGCATTTTATCCACTTACTAGCAAGGTGGATACTCCTGCACAGCTAGCGAAACACGAACGGAGGCGGCGTGTACTTCGGCGAGTCGCAGAAGCAGCAGGTGTTTCCTCCTCAAATATCCAATCACCAGCTGATTCTCCTGCTCCATCAATATCCAAAGATCATCATTTTATTGCGATCAGTCGAAATGTGCCGGTCCCTTTGTTCGCGTTTCTCCGGGAACATGATGGCGATACTGCTACTAAGGTAACGCTAATACTTTCGCCCAGTTGACTGCCGGTTCGCTCATGATGGCTTTCAGAACTTCATCCCGAAACTGAAGGACCACATTTTATATAGGTTGAAGAAGTTGGACGTTAGTTGTTGTGACCATATATTCACAGATGAGGAGCGTAACCTGGTCATAATTCCTAATAATACAATCTACTCTGTCCAGACGATGCAGGTACACTATACGACTTACGATATGAGGCGCGGATACGACACTATCAACCCCAGAACACACGCTGACATTATGGTGCTTTCAGGAGAAACCTCACCTTCCCACCCATACTGGTACGCTCGCGTACTGGGTATTTATCACATGGACACGTGGCTCGAAGGTGATGGGTCAGCCCGTGAACAGCACCTCGAGGTCTTGCACGTCAGATGGCTCGCGCCATTAATATCGTCAGGCTATCAGTCAGGCATACAGTGCGCTCGCCTTCCCAAGGTGGCGTTTGTGGAGGAGTCAGATTACGATGCATTCGGATTTCTTGATCCCGGGCAAGTGATTTGAGGAGCCCATTTGATCCCTGCGTTCGCTGCTGAGCGCGGTGTGACTTCACTTCGCCATGGAAAATCGTTAGGACGTGCCCAGGACGAATTGGATGACTGGGAAGCATTTTATGTCGGCATGTAAGTGCAGCATGTCTTCTTGTGAATTGGTGACTGATATGTTAGAGCTAGCTTTGCTGATCGTGACATGTTCTTGCGTTATACGCATTTAGGTGTAGGCCACCCAGTGGCTTCGCGGAGGGTCGTCAGAGGCTGTCTTGGCCTCCGGTCAACAACAACGGTGAGCTCAGGAGGTATGGATGTTGATCAAGGCCGAGACGACGGTGAGTGCCGCGAAGAAGATAATGATGACTCGAATGACGAACAGATGGATGTCGACCAAGTTTGTGAGGAGGTTTCAGACAACGAAAGTGATGAAGAGGAATTTGACTCGGGAGATGACCAAGATCTTGGCGATGAGTTTGATGCGGAGATGCTCGAGGAAATCTCTAATGACCTTTCTTTTTAAAATCATACTAACGGTCATGATAGGTACTGCGTTTTAGTTCAACCAGCTTTCAAGTGTAGGTTGACATAACATACATGTTTTTAGCTGGTGCGACCTTACAGTCTGCCGAGTTAATGTCACTCTCAGTTGATCCTCTTACTGCCTGAGCTTCAACGTCTCCTGGTGGTAGGTGGCATTTTCAATATCATCATCATCAGTTAACGTGACGGTGGCAGCAGCCCCATAATGGGTGTTCCGCAATCATATATATGTCATTCAGTTCCGGAGTCTGGCGTTTGTCAAGTCG